TAATTTCCCTTGGCAAAGACCAAGCACTGAATGGAACTATACACTCATGAGCTAGCTACATGTTTGCCTGCCAATTTAATAGCAAGAGCAAGGAGGATCTGCGTTCCTTTCACCCAGAAAAGGAAAACTCTGTTTTGATGAGATTTTACTATAATGATAGTGGTTTCAGCCCCATTTTGGTTTTAGAATCTTTTGGCAGCAAAGCTACAGCTGGCAGGACCTGGCAATGCCAGTCTGCTCTCTGTAGAAGCAGTAATGCTTCAACTATTCAAGGTTGTATTTTTTCCCCACCCTGTTTGGAAGGTGGCAGGGGAATCCTTACTTGTCTTGGTGCATTTTCACTAAAATCCCTTACTAGAAAATGTTACTGCAAACTGTGGCAATGAGGATGTAATCTGTGGCTGTTTTGCATAGTTGGGTAATTTGTTGGTTTTGTTTTTAAGCCAGCTTGTGACTCTCTGATGCTAGCACTGCTCCAAGCCTTATTAATAGCAGTCCTTGTCATTTTAGAGGTTTTGTCTTTTTCATTATTATTCACACATGGTCATTCCTGGATTTGCTAATACATACTTGCACTTCCTCAGCTTCCTTGCTTGTGGAAGGAAGCAGTGGAAGGAACAGTGTGCACCAGTAGTCTCATTTTGTTACCTGGGGTTCTGCTTATCCCACAGAATAGTAGAAGCGGAGATGAAACTGTACATTGGTAAGACACACCTCTGATTTTTCTCAGGGGAAAAAAAGCCGTGTAACTATTCTTAGTTGGTATATTAAGTGTGAAATTAAGCAGTTCCAAGGGGATGACCAGCTGCTCTCTGGAGGGAGTGCCATTGTGCTTCTGTCGTCTTCTCAGAGCTACAACACTTCAGTGTTCTTGACTCAAAAGTGTTTCCCTTGGGGTAGTGGAAAATCAGAGCCGACCGAGGCTGCTAAAAATCCAGGCTTAGACGTGTGCCTCGTGTGCGTGTGTGTACATCTTGCAGTTCAGTGATGACCCTGACGACTTCTTGAACTTTTAATGACAATGCAGCTGTCTGTTCATGGTGCTAATTAACCCAAAAGCTGATTCCTCCCTCCCTCTCGTTATCCATTCTGTGAATGAAATGTGAAAACAAGACGAGGACTTTTCCCGTGCCCTTAGGGCTGTCTGAGCCTGGCAGCGGTGACCCTGCTTGAGTAGAACTGAAAGAGCTGCTGCGCAACGGCCCATACTCCTTTTTAATGGGTTATTAAAATTCCACCTTCTTCCCCTCCCTCCAGTCCTGTTACAGTTTGGAGTGAAGGCACTTAGGGGAAAACAGCTGCAGGAATAACTTTCCCTCTTTTCTTTTGGAAAGGCAGAGACAGCTGTTCAGTTCGTTAAGTTTAGGGATTCCACCACTACTTATTTAGGGCCTGATCCTGCTCCAGTTAAAATCAGTGGAAAGATTCCCACTGGGTTCAACAGGCAGTTGAACCAGGCAGCTTCAGGAAGCAGCCTGCAATCACACAACACTGCCTCAAAATGTTGGAAACGGCTTGAAAGGAAAAAGAAAGTAGGAAGGTGTTTGTCACAGAGTTGACTTGCTGACTTGCCTGCAGTCTCAAAGTACAAGCACTCAGCAGGCCAATGTTTTACTTGAGGAACAGGTTAAATTAGTGTGTTTGTGGTATTCTAAGTTGCTTTTTAAAGATGGCTCTAGTATGTCTATGTTCATTTACAGTCTGCAGTGTTGACAGACTTTTATTGGCACAGTGAATTAAAGGACTGATCTCTGATGCTGAATGCTTATTTTAGTTTAGATACTCTTTGAGATCATAGGGGATAATGGCTTACTTTTTGAAATTATACCAGTTCTCAGCACCTGCAACTCTCATTGATACGAATTTACTTGCTGCTTCTGAAAAATGAGGGGAAAAATGAAATCTATTCTTGCTTCTGTCATTAGAGCTTGTTGTTCTCACCTTTGATTTATACAGTGAAAGAAAAGTCTAGAAACTTGGTGGAGGGGGTCAGAATTTCTGTTCCACAGAGAGTTTTGAAATGGTGGAAATTTATTCAATCTGAAATTTGAGGGAAAATGAAAATATCAGGGTTTTCAGCACAAAATTTTCTGCAAAAAGTGATTCTGATGCATCTGAATCTGATGTTTTGAAGGGTTAATTCAAAATGTCCATTTTCAACTAGGTGTCATTTCACATCAACATTTAGACTTCAAGTGTAGTTGAAGAGAAATGCTGATTCAGAATGAAAATAGGTCTCAGTTTTTCTGAGAAGAAAAATTAAAATCAATTTTGCTGAAGTTGATGCTTTCCGTAGTAATTTGTGACTTAAGTAAAACCATGTTTCCTGACAGGAAAAAGCATTTCCAGAAACATTTCTACTAGTCCTGTCCCTGATGATTTAACAGTAACAGGCTCACCTTCTGGAAGTGCTGATTTTGGTCAGGTTACATGCTACCTTTCAAGCTGGGAGAGATTCTGGTTCATTAGTCCTGTGGGGTTTATAGTTAGCTTTTTTCTGAATGCTGAAAATTCCCTTTAAAACACAAATCTACATACCCTTTGCTTGCTCCAGTCCTTGGCAATGGGCAGTTCTCCTTGGGTTTGCTGCATTAATGAACAAACAAGTTCGTGGTTGTGCTGCTGCCACTGGACTGAGACGAGGTATTTCCCCTTGTGTTTCTGTTAGTTCCCTCCCTGTCAATGTTTAAACATGCTTACACCTGTGTTCCAGGTGCGAGCTTAACTGGAGCCCTGAAAAGCTGGCTCTTGGGAGGGTAGTTCATTACTTTGCCAAAATAGTCCTGTTACAGCAATGTCTCAGGAGACTTGGACAGGCAGGAAACAGTCAGGCTCAGTGTATACCCTGGAAATGATTACCCTTACCTGTAAACATTCAGCAATGCAGTGTCCAGAGAACTTCTGCCTCCCAGAGCAGTTAATAGGCCCTAGAGCATATATATATAGCAATCACTGTGCCACGGCAGCTGTGAAATGACTATCCAACCATGTCTTGTGACCTTTTCTTTTTTTTCTAAAAAGTTACAAGGACACCTAGGAAGTGATAACAGAATGCAGGCTTGCCTCCCCCAAATTGGAACTTTAGGAAAGTTTTTGGTAAGCATACTTTACGAAGCTTTCAAACTCCAGTTGCAGAGATGAGCCAACTGACTGATTGGTTCACTTTAAGTGAATCTCCATCAGATTCATATGGTCAGACTTGAAAATTTCCATATAAACCCCACTAATTAGCAATACTGACTAGGAATAAAACAGTATGGCTTAGTCTTGGATTTGTATAAATATCTGTCGTGCAAAAAAAATAAAGTCAACTATTGGTGGTAGACAGGCACTGTTAACCATCCAGTGTGCTCTCTGTGCTTACAGAAGTCCAACAAAGAGTCACATCTCATTAATATTTCATTGGGAGCACCAGGATGCATATGAGCGTCCAAGTAATGACACACAACTTCTGGCAATCTATTTTGATTATAGTCTGTTGGGCTGTTCACGAACATGAAATTTTGATGCAAAGTTTGTATGAAAGAAGTTTGGGTAATAAAAGAATGAGATGGTTATACTGTTTCTCTCTCCACTGCAGTTTCTAGGGAACAACTTTGGCCAACCTGTCAGTAGGACAGTCAGGGAGCTTCTGAGAAAACTGAACGAACCAGGGTAACTGGCCAGTGTCTGCCTACCCTTTCTGCTGTCAGTGCTCTGTGTCACTGCACAGGGAAAATCCTGTGTCTTCAGAGCCAGAAGATGTACAGTGTGCTGTATTTATATTCCTCATGTAAAGAGTTGTTGCTTCCAGACTTCCAGATGTTCTTAGAGTTCCAGGTCTTCTCATTACCTCTTATGAGATGTCTCGTATCACTCTCTCTCTTTTCTTTTTTTTTTTTTTTTTTTTTTTAATCTTTTCCCCACAACAAC